GGGGGGTGGGGGGGCGCGAGCGCGAGCCCGGCGCGGGGCAAGGGCGGGGCCGCGGGCGCCCCGGGGCTGGAAACGCCTTTTCCTCGCGACCCCTCCCTTCGCGGTCACGGAGGTCTGGGGCCGGTGTCACCGGCTCCTCGAGGGAGGGGGCGCCCAGCGCGGTGTAGAGTCGGGGTCGCGCCCGGAAACTCGCCGAACGCCGATCTCCCACCTTCCCAAAGGCGTTTCGCGTGTTCTTTTTTCCCAGCCCGAGGTCGTTTTGCGTGGACACAGTAAGAGGCCGGCCGGCCCGCCCAAGGTCTACGGAGCAACAGGCGGTCAGGGCTCCGCCAGGGAATCTGGAGAAGCAGGGGGCCACCTTCCCCATCTTCCGAGCCACTCCCCGTTCAGAGTTACATCGCGGGGTCTCGGGCCTTCAAGGGTCCCTAAGCCATGAGATGGCCTCACCCTGAGGAAGGGGGTGGGCGGGCAGAATGTTCCAAAGCCTGCTGGGTCCGGGAGCTCATGGAGGAAAATGCAAGGTGCTGACCCAGCCTCCCAAAGAGGTGAGTGAGCGGTCAGCTTACAAAAAAATTTAAAAACCAGGAAGGAGTGAAAGGGAAATGCGAACTATTATCTGACCCCCTCCCAGAAAACTGTCACTGTCTACCCACTACAGCCCGATTTCCAGTGGGTCCCTAATTCCGGCTGTGTCACAGCCCCGGCCCCAGTCTGAGTTCTGCCAGAAAGGAAGGAAGCAGGTGTTCTCTGGAAGAAATGCAGACTTCTCTCTCTCCCTCTCTCCCCCCTGGCGCTCTCTTGCTCGCTCTCTCGCTCTCTCTCTCTCTCTCACTGGCAGGCACAACAAAGTGAAAGGCCTGTAGCCATGCAGGAAGCTATAGATCTCATTATACAATGAAACGTCCTTTGATTCTGTACCAAGTGATAGTCTAAGGAGCAAGCAAGGAAGAAATGGCTCAGATTCTCCCTACTAGCACACCCCTTGCTTAATGGGTACAGGGTTTCCTTTTGGGGTGATGAAAATGTCTTTGAACTGGATGGAGGTGACGGCTGCACAAGATGATGAAGGTACTAAATGCCACTGAATTGTACACTTCCAAATGATTAATGGCTAATTTTATGTTATGTAAATTTTATAAATAAAAAGGCAATCTATTAAAGGTGAAAATTAAAGTTGAGCAAGATTATCAGTTTAGTGAAGTGCTGGGAAGAATTCCATGTGACTGCAATAAATTAAGAAATGGTCTATCAATCTAAGACAGAATTTTATGTGGAAAAGAAATAGGAAGAAGACAAATGCACATAAGATACATGTAAGACAAGGAACACTTAGTTGTAATGAGAACAGGCTAAGCTGGGTTGGGGTAGGAAAGAAAAGGTCATAAGAGCATAAATTAAGTATGATTCAGCTATGAAATGAAGTTAGTAAATAAGCTAACATGTTCTGGGGATGTATTTATGGAGCATGATTTACATGAGCTAGGAAAGTAGTCTTTTTCTGCCACTGCACTTGGCATCGATCAGGCTTTTATTAGAGCACTGTGTCCTGTTTTGGTCTCTGCACTTGGCTCTAAGAGATACAGATGGCCTTTCTGCTAGAGTCACAAACATCTTAGCCCACTCAAATTCACACTAATCTGCTGCAATTCCTAGCCCTATAAATGAAAGTTTGGAACATTCTCATGCTCTCAGACAACTCTGCTCAGTTTTTTCTCTTGTTGTAAGTGTTAGACAGCCTTCTCAGGCCATGCTTAGAGTTAAGCTCAGGTGCAAAGGCCATGCTGTGGAACTGGCTGTCATAAACGGGGGCAGCTGATACGCAAGTATCAGAACCAGGGGCTGGGCCCTCACAGGCCCCCATGTGGACATACCTAAGCAGTGACACTGAGGCTCTGCACAAAAAGCTTCCTTGTGTGGGAAATTTACCAACACCCCACCCTCCCTGCCTGCCTGCCAGCACAAAACCGCAAAGCAGTGCCGAAGACTACCCCCTTTGAAGTCAAACAAACTGAGGGAAAGAGAAAAGGTTTAGGAGCCTTAAAGCCTGTTGTGCTGCTACCTGAAGCTGAGAATCCCCAAGAATTCCACCTTTAACCAGGACGGCAGTGGTGGGAAGTTGGCGCCGCACTTACCTGTTACAGCTGGACTCAGACGGGGACCTCTGCTGCCCTTCGTACCGCTGCACCAGGGCTCGCACGCTCCAGTACGGGTTCTCAATCTCCTCGTCCACGCTGTTGTTCCTAAAGCCGGAGGATGCCAGCAAAGGAGAGGGCATCAGTCTTTCAGTTCGGGTCCACTCAACGAGAACCGGTAGCTGGCCACTCTGAGAGTGCCAGGGGAAGAAGGAGGAGTAAGGCCAAGCCCCGGCCTTAAAGACCCTCGACACCCAGCAGGGAAGACAGACAGATGGATTTCCCTAGGGTCTGCAACACCTCAGGGTCTTGCTCTCTCCCAGCAGACATATAACCCCCAAAATGTTTCCTGCCATGACTTCCTTCAGGACAGGCTGGCTTTAGCATACATTCTAGGGAGACTCCCCCAGATGACTTGAACACTGCTCCCACATATCTCCCGGTGTAGAAAACACGCCGTGCCAAAGGCATATATTTAAAATTCTGGGCATCAGAGCAAAAAATTACAAATGTGATTCCTTTACTTTCTGCTAACTGCAACATAAACATCTCTTTTAAAAGGGCTTTTCTCAGGGTGCCTGGGTCACTCAGGAGTTTCAACCTCCAACTTCGGCTGAGGGTATGATCTCGCAGTTCGTGAGTTCAAGCCCCACGCTGGACTCTGCTGACAGCCTGGAACCTGGAGCTGCTTCAGATTCTGTGTCCCCCTCTCTCTCTGCCTCTACCCAGCTCGTGCTCTGTCTCTCTCTCTGTCTCTCTCACTCGCTCTCAAAAATAAATAAAAACATATAAAAATTTTTTAAAAATATTAAAGGGCTTTTCTCAGGGTGCCTGGGTGGCTCAGTCGATTGAGCATCCGACTCTTGATTTTGGCTCAGATCATGATCCCAGGGTCATAGGATCAAGTCCCATGTTGGGCTCTGCGCTGAGTGTGGAGTTTGCTTAAAATTCTCTCTCTCCCGGGGTGTCTGTGTGGCCCATTTGGTTAAGCGTCCAACTCTTGATTTTGGCTCAGGTCATGATCTTGCAGTTTGTGAGTTTGAGCCCCGTTTCGGACTCTGTGCTGACAGCGTGGAGGAACCTGCTTGGGATTCTCACTCTCTCCCTCTCGCTCTCTCTCAAAAATAAATATTTAAAAACATCTCTCTCTCTCTCTCTCTCTCTGCCCTTCTCCCCTGCGTGCACATGCATGCACTCTCTCTCTCTAAAATAAAACATAAATTGGGGCGCCTAGGTGGCGCAGTCGGTTAAGCGTCCGACTTCAGCCAGGTCACGATCTCGCGGTCCGTGAGTTCGAGCCCCACGTCGGGCTCTGGGCTGATGGCTCAGAGCCTGGAGCCTGTTTCCGATTCTGTGTCTCCCTCTCTCTCTGCCCCTCCCCCGTTCATGCTCTGTCTTTCTCTGTTCCAAAAATAAATAAACGTTGAAAAAAAAAAATTAAAAAAAAATAAAATAAAACATAAATTAATTAAAGGGCTCTTCTCTCGTGGAGTGCCCTCTCTGACCTACACTCCTTGCTCTCTTCTGCAGCGTGGGGCTGTTTGGGTGATCCTTCTGTCTACTGCACAGTATCATTTAAAGGAGGAAATTCAGAGAGGAACAAGCTCCCAGCCCCAGATTTCTACCCTTACCTCTGCCTGTATCGAAAGACATCCCGTCCCGACCGTGACATGTCATGACACACGTCGGCCAGAGCGGCAGCTGCCCCCTGGGCCACAGCAGTGGCACAGTGTGGTTGGTGACTCTGCAGAGGGGTTCTGGAGTCCCGTCCTTGGCTCACTGTCCTGTTGGAGCCAGGTTTGAAATGAGCTGCCAAGGCAAGGACCAGCCTCATGATAGACTTCAGGTTTCCTTCCACAATATCTGAGGGACAGAACACACCCAGAGGTCCTAAGACAGAGGCAGAGGGTTCACTCATTGAACACATATTTGCTAGTGATACAGGTAAGCGAGGCAGTCAAGGTCTTTGTTCTCACAAAGCCATGTTCAACAGGAAGACAGAACATTTAAAAGCATTTACAGGGGCGCCTGGATAGCTCAGCCAGTTGAGCATCCGACTTCAGCTCAGGTCATGATCCCACAGTTCGTGGGTTCGAGCCCCGAATTAGGCTCTCTGCTGTCAGCACAGAGCCCACTTCAGATCCTCTGTCTCACTCTCTCTTTGCTCTTCCCCTGCTTTCACTCATGTGTGCTCTCTCTCTTAAATAAATAAACATTAAAAATAAAACAAGCACTTACAACAAAGTATGGTAATGTGTTACGGTAGAAGTACAGGATTCTCTGGGAGCTCAAAGTAGAGGCATCTCGTCTAGTCTAGAGGGCTCAGGGAGAGAGTATAGGGGAAATAAGTTTTAAAGTGAGACTTGATTGGTTCATCAGATGAAGGAGGAGAAGAGTGTTCCAAGAGGATGGAGCAGGCGTGAATGTCTAGAGGTGAGAGAGAGCATGACCTACGAGAGCTGTGCCATCTGATATGGGAGCCATTAGCCACATGTGGCTACTGAGCGTTTAAAAGATATAGTCTGGGGGCACCTGGGTGGCTTAGTTGGTTAAGCGTCCGACTTGGGCTCAGGTCATGATCTCATAGGTGGTGGGTTTGAGCCCTGCATCGGGCTCTGCTGACACCTCAGAGTCTGGAGCTTGCTTTGGATTCTATGTATCCCTCTCTCTCTGCCCCTCACCCGCTCACACACACTCTCTCTCTCTCAAAAATAAATATTAAAAAAAAAATTTTAAAGATATAGTCTGAATTGAATGTGCTATAAGGGTGGTACTTAGCACAAAAAAAGTCAGATTGAAACACATCTCATTAGCTTAGTACAAAAAAAGAAGAATGCAAAGTATCTCATTAATAGCTTTTATACTGAATGCATGTTGCACTGATAATACTTTGGATATTTGGGGTTAAAAAATATTATTAAAATTATCTTCTATTTCCTTTTTAAAAAAAATATGGCTCTCAGAAACTTTCGTATGTGACTTGCATTATATTTCTATGCATGCCACTGTGGCAGATGAAGTGGAAAAAGTACAGCACAGCTAGGGCCCAGAGTGCAAGGGGAAGAGGGTGAGGGGGTGAGGCCACAAGGGGAGAAATTAGAGGTCAGAAAGGGCAGGGCAAGCCCCAGGAAGGACTTTGGATTCTCCCATAAGGACCTGCACACACAGAGCAGTGGTAGGGGCATATGTCTTCGCAGAAAGATCATCCTGGCTACAGTGTGGAGAGCGGATGGATGGGAGGCAGTGAGACTAATTAGGAAACTGCTGCCCTTCTCCAGGTAAAAGACAATGATGTCCTCAATGGCGGTGTTCCCTCAAAATAGCTAACTTTAATGGGCCAGATCCCTAAGCCCACCCCTCATGGGGACAAGAGCACGGACATTACGACACCTTAAATTTTGCCCTAGAAAAAAAGAATGCACACAAAAAAACCCAATGTGATAGGTCTGGTGAAAGTTCACGTAAGGGAATGGGTAAAACTCTCATGCTTTTAGTTTCACAGCATTGTAAATATGCAAGGCTTGGAAAAAGATTGATTGATACCTTCTACAGGGTGCTCTCAATGGTAAGAATCGGCCGACCTGAATGACCCCAACACCTAGAACGCCAATAATCCAACACAGAAGGAAGGCTCCCTCTGGCCCCCTTTCTCATCAGAGCCCTGGGCCATCAGGCCCTGAAACTGAAGCTGAAACAGAACCAGATCTACAATCAGTTCTAAAGAAACAGCGGGAGGGCCAGGGAGCCTGTGCTCTCTCAAGACACCCTAAACAATTGCTTCCTTGCAGCCTGGGCTCAAAGTGAATTGAGCAGTGTCCTCTTCTGGTCGTGTGGCTGTAACAGAAGGTATGTGCAGACGTCCCAGAGCCCCTTTCCTCTTGCCCAAAATATTCTGTGTTATCCAAAAAAAAAAAAAAAAAAAAAAAAAAAAGCCATAAATATTTTTCTTCTGGAAAACTGGATGGAAAAAAATAAAGCTAATATGATTTGAAATAATTCTTGGGCATGAAACCCAAGTAACTTGGAAAACATCATCGATCTTCAATTTGATAACTTAAATGAGATATTCTAGAGTTTATTTTTTTAAATGTTTTTATTACTTATTTTTGAGAGAGAGGGGGAGAGAGAGAGAGAGAGAGAGAGAGAGAGAGAGAGAGAGAGAGACAAAGCACAAGCAGGGGAGGGGCAGAGACAGAGGCAGACACAATCTGAAGCAGGCTCCAGGCTCGAGTTGTCAGTACAGAGCCCAACATGGGGTTCGAACCCACAAACCATGAGATCACGACCCGAGCTGAAGTCGGACACTCAACTGACTGAGCCACCCAGGTGCCCCTTAAATGAGACATTCTAAAGTTAATACTCCGGTCTTGTCATTTCTACTCGATTAATTTTTGTACACATACTCAAGCAAACCTTTATTCAATTAAAATGAATAGAGAATGTCTATCTCCACCCAGGTTTTCAAAAGCACTCAGATTTTGAGAATCGCCCCATCCCAAGAGGGTAACTCTCTTTATGGAAAAATGATATGAGGCCACAGACCTAATCCTATTCCAGTCTACTCAGAACCCTCGGCTACACGACGGATGGTCCTTCTGAGGCTCATAATCACTGGGTAAAGCTGACCCAGACGTGATGAGGCACTGACCTTTAGCCGAAGTCTGGTGCATACGAATCTTTTTGGAGGCCACGAACTGTAGCACTTTCTCCACATTGTTCTTCATCTCCTGTTGGTTACTGGGACTCAACTGTACCCCATTCAGCTTTTCTCCTGCTGTTCAAAGAGAGAAAATATGTGAAGTTATAGGGAGGAACCATACCAAAGTTTCATAATAGCCAGACACTGAGAAAAGGAATATTCGATGTAAATGCTCAGATTATATATAAATGTGCAAGTGTGTTAGGCCTTGGTGCTTGTAATTTGGATGGAGGAATAGGAGAGCAAAGTCCTTTCGGTGGGCTTTCAAATTTTCAAAGCTGTATCCAGGGGCCTGTGAAGTTACTTTGTGTCCCCTTATTCACTCAACAAATATTCATTGAGCATCTTGCTGTGTGCCAGGTACCGTTCTGGGCAACAGTGAAACAACAATAAACAAGACGGACACAGCCCCTTCCATCACAGAGTTTACATTTCTAGGGATAACAGATGATCACGTTAACCAGTTTGTGTTTAATAGAATTTCAGGTAGTGATAAGTGCTACGAGGAAAAATAAAAAAGTGTGGGATCATGATACTATATTTAAGCAGAGACTTGAATAGTAAGAGATGTTAAGATTCAAGGAGGAAGCATTCTGGACTGAGGAATCACAAGTCCAAACCCCAGGGTGGGAATGAGCTCAGCTTCTCTGAAGAGCAGCTCTAAGCCCAGCATGGCTGGAGTGGAGAGAGAGAGGAGTCAAGTCCTAGAAGTTAGACAGGTAAACAAAGCCATATCATTTAAGGCTCTGTGGACCAAAGTAAAGAACTTGAATTTTATTCTAAGAGTAATGGGCAGCCAATGGAGAGTTTGAGGCAAGGAAGTTACGTGATCTGTGCTTTCAAAAGTTGACCCTACAGGCGCCTGGATGGCTCAGTTGGTTAAGCGTCTGACTCTTGGTTTCGACTCAGGTCATGAACAGATGGAACCTTGCGTTAGGCTCTGTGCTGACAGTGCAGTGCGGAGCCCGCTTGGGGTTCTCTCTCTCCCTCTCTTTCTGCTCCTTCCCCATGCATGCATGCACATGTTCTCTCTCTCAAAAAATAAATAAACTTAAAAAAAAAGTTGGCTCTATATGGGCTTAATTTATGTGAAGCAGAAACAGGGAGATTAGTTAGAAAATGAAACTTGTCAAGGCAAGGGATAATGGTTTGGGCTTGAGTGGGAAAGGCTGACAGGTGAAAAGCCAGGTATCAGGTAAAATTTTAATATGAAGCAGACAGCACATGTGAAGGACTGGGTACAAAACAGGCAGAAAAGAGAATAATCAAGGACAACTTCCAAGAGTTCTACTTTAACAGCCGCCGTGTGTGATTTCGGCGAAGAAATCTGGAGGATAGAGGGCTTGGTGGAGAGAAGGGTATCAAAAGCTCTGCTTAGGGCATGTGGAGGTAGAGTCGCATTTTAGACAGCCAGGCTGGGATGCTGAGCAGGAAGCTGATATTCATGTCTCGAACTCAAGGAAAAGTTTAGAGCTTAAGATGCAGATGTGGGAGGAGATCACTTGGGGACAGAGAAAAGACAAGGGATAAGGACTGAATGTGGAGGGTCTCAACATTTAGAGGTCAGGAAGGAGGGAAAAAGCCAGCAGAGCAAGCTGAGGAGCCAGGAAGGAAGGAGAGTCCTGGACGCCAACAAAAGAGAGTGTTTGAAGGAGGGAGGGAGTGACCGACCGTGTCAAGTTCTGCTAAGTCGAATAAAATGGGGACTGAGGCCGAGCCACTGGGCTGGATAAGGCAAAGGTTGTGACCTTGATGAGAGCAGTGTAAGTGGAGAGGTGGGATCAAAAGCCCAATGAGGGTTTGTTAAAGAAAGAACAGGGAACAAGGCAGTGAATTCAGCGAGTTTTTCCATATAGCAAAATCACAATAAAATGCAGCATTTAAGAATCTGGGTTTCGGGAAACCAAAGAATACATATTCATATTGCTTGTATATGCATAGAATATCTCTGAAAAGAAATGTAAGAAACTGCTAACACTACTTGCTTCCAGAAAGAACACGTAGTTGGTGCGGGTGGAAAAAAGGCTTTTATATCCTTTTGTAGCTTCTGCATTTTCTGTCTGATTATATTTTCAAGTATAATCTATTCCAGCAAGTGAAAAATAATGTTTAAAATGAGCTTTGGAATTAAAGCAGGTCTAGCTTTTGCCACGTACAGTTATGTGGCCTTGTACAATTGCCCAGCCCTTCTCAACCTCGTGAGAGATGGCATAAAATGGTAGTACCTGTATCACACCTGTAGTATAAACCATCCAAGGTAGCATGCTTAGCGCAATGCTTCATCTATTCTAAGTGCTCAGGGAATTCATTTATTTATGTTTATAAATCTTCTCTTTTAAGCTTGTTTCCTGAAAACAGGGATGATAGTAGGTGCTTCTCAAGGCTTGACGATCAAAGGAAATGAAATGAAATGAGATTAAAAAGTGTCCAACAGATGGCAGCTATTACTATTACCATCGTTATTTTCATTAGAAACGAGTGCCCTGATGAATCCATGAGCTGGCCCGGTGAGGCAGTCACGGAGAGGCTGCCTGTAGCAAGCAAACCTGGCTCCTTCTGCACCACTTGTAAGGATGGAGCAAGTGACTCTCTCAAGGATTCTAAGCAAGGTCAGCTGATGAATATAACAGTAATGTCTGAGTACCTATTATGTGCCAGGCACTTGGTAGGAGGTGTGGGAACAGAAAAAAAAGTTACACTGTACCTGCTCTTAAATAAGAGCTCGGTCTATATGGGAGAGAGAGGTAAACAGTCACCGCTCAGTGCGTGGGAACACATAGTAATAACAGAGCTGTGGACAAATGCTGTAGAAAGAAGGGTATGGTACCATCCAATAAGAGCAACTGGCAACAGATCCAGGGCTCTTCATGGAAACCCTTCTGTGAAGCATGATGGTAGTTTCACAGAAGGGGTCCTTTTGCTGGGAACCCTCCTTCTTCTTGCCTGACTCCTACTTCCTTTTCCAGCCTCGGTTTAGACATCGGTGTGTCTGGTAAGCCACCGCTGAGCCCCTAGAACTGGGTCGGCGCCTCCATCCACCCAGGTGCTCCTATCTGTCCTTACTCTATCAGAGTCCTAAGTACATTAATGGAATGAGTTCACTTTCCAGTCTTTCCAACTAGATTGGGAGACTCCTGAGAGCATAGACTGTGCTTACAATCACATTCCCAAAGCCTAATAGAGTGCCTAGCACACTGTTTATTGACTAATAAATAAATGAGTTAATGATGGGCAAGAATGTTAAACCTTCTCTACTTCCATTTCCATATGTTATAAAGAAGAAGCAAACTGCTCGGAAGGGCACATGGAGGATAAAGAAGGCATGTTCTGGTTTGTGCTGGCATCGGTCCAGGGCCCACTGACCAACGATCTCGATGAGATATGCCAGGATCACCCCATCCCGAAGATCCTGTCGCAGGTCCTGCACCGGCTTCACTGCTGGCCTCTTCTTGAGCTGTGCATTCACCCAGGCCACATACGCCTGGAGCTGTTGCTGGAAAATCAAAGGTGGAAATAAGGGAAAGGAATATGATTCTTCTCCTTTGCCCTGCACCCTCTGAGGCAACATTTGAGACTGGACTACGGTGGGAAATCCACATCCAGAGGGAGGAGGAGGTTTCAAGGAAATAAAGAAGAAAGATGGTGAGACATGGAACATGTTCTAAAAATCTCTAATTTTATGCTAGTTGCTAGTCTTCAGGGAAAGCTAACCGCTGACTTGGTGGCAGTGTAGACACGGAGAAACAGATAAGTGTTTCAGTGAGTAGGACTCCTGCTTTCCTTGAGTTTTGCTCCCTTGACCATGGATGGGGGCCAGTAGAGAAGCACAGCCAGTTTTTGGGTGTGATCACTGCTGCCAGTAACCCATTGTGCTTCTCAAGAACAATCACTCATTCTCACATGCACAATGGACACTGATACTCATAAGGCTGGTCTTGGGGAATCAGAAATAAACAACAGCAAGCCAGCTCAGAACAACCTCTCCCATCACCATGTTCTTCACAATGAGACTTAATGGAAATCATCTCACTGTCAACCCGAGATTTATTCTCCTGAGCCCATAATCCTGGGATTGCTACAGAGTTAGTGTTAATCCGTGCTTTATGTTGTCAAAGAGGATCTAGTTGCCTAAAATCTGCACAAAGAAGGAAAAAGAAAAGCTTTGGTGAGCAGTACCCTGAAGACTTGGGCAGAGGTTGTGGTGCGGGGGGCGGGCAGGAGGGGGGATGGGCTTTCATTTATTGTCAGACAAAGCTAAACCCAGTATCATCAGAAGCCTGTTGGGCCCAGATAGGGACACACAACTCATCCCAGCCCTCGGATCCCCCTACATAGTCCATTTTGTCCCCTACCAAAGCTTGCATCCAGGTGTTTATTCTAATTTTGCATTTGTTCTGAAGATGGACACTTAAATATCAAAAGAGCACACGAACAATATCCCAGAACAATCAGCAGCTCTGTCTGGTTTCTGTAGAAGCCCAGAACCTTACTCTAAACATTAGGTTCAAGGGCTAACGGTATTATATTACAAGCTGGTTGAAGAATAGTTGATTTCTACACCACAAGTACTTCTTCAATAAAATGTTGAAAATTACCCACTGATTGCTTCCTGAGCTTAAATTAAATCTTCGTTATTTTCTCTGTGTCGATTTGTGGCAATAAATGAAGTCCTTTATAAAGACAGTACTAAGGCAATAATCTATCAGCTGCTGACAAACTGTAGGAAGTGCCATATCAGCAGGCAGTAGGGGAAGGAATCGAGTGTCTACATGAACTAAACACTAGTTCTGGAATTTGATATGTGTTTTATTGTATTAATGAAGGTGCCTGGGACAGGACCTGCCACACAACTGATGCTTGCTTAACATTCATTATTATTTTCATCGTTATCACCATCTAATTAATCCTCACAAAAACACTGAAGGGTCAGTATCCTCTCCATTCTACAGATGAAGTTCAGAGAAGTGATGGAACATCCCCAAGGCCCCAGCCAGGACACAGCAGATCTGGTATGGAAACACCTAACTGTGGTCCAAGCATTGACCAAGGGCATCGTGCTACCCCACTCATTTGGTATAACAGGGGTGGCCACACCTTCTGCCTAATGTGGGCCAGACCCTTGCCCAAGGTCTGCTCCTGCTGCACAGCCCAAGCACCGTGGGAAGCAAAGGGTACCTCTGTAGTAAACCGCTCTGCTCTGGAGCAAAGGAGTTAGGACCAAAAAAGGCATTAAGGGTAACAGTTGGGATCTGACCCTGGCTTAGGTATAAAACACCTAGGGGTGCCTGGGTGGCTCAGTTGGTTAAGCATCCGACTCGGTTTCAGCTCAGGTCACCATCTTGCGGTTTTGTGAGTTTGAACCCCATGTGGGGCTCTGCGCTGACAGTGCAGAGCCTCCTTGGGATTCTCTCTCTCCTTCTCTCTGCCCCTTCCCTACTCATGCTGTCTCTGACTTCCTCAAAATAAATAAATAAATAAATAAATAAATAAATAAATAAATAAATAAAACTTTAAAAAAAGACATATATGTGTGTATATATATGTATATACGTATATATATACACATATACATGTGTGTATACATATATATATACATATATAAAATAATAAAATTCCTAACCAGTCTCCCTGTATCTACTATCATCCTCAACCCACCCTCCACACATTCCTGCTTCAGATCCTTCACTGGCCTCTCTTCTCAAGATAAAATCCAACCTTCCTGGCTGCATTTAGTCTGTCATGTGCTGGCCGCTGCCTCTGCTCCGCTTACTCACTACCCTCCCATTTGCCTGCTGCGTTTCGGTTGGTCCAAACCATGTCCAGTGCCCCAAACGCACCACACTTTCCAGCCACTCTCCCTCCCTGAGCCTGCAGTCTCCTCTTAAGGCTGAGCCCAAGCATCACCTTTTCCAAGAAGCCTTCCCTGACCCTCCCACAGCCCAGCTCTGATCTCCCCGAGGACGTCCAGTGTCACACACGGTGCTGAGATCATAAGCCCAACCTGAGCCCACACTTTTGTGGTTGTGGGGGGGGGGGTTCCTGAAAGAGGAAATGAGGCAAAGGGAACAGTGAGCTCAAAGGAGCTCAGGTCCGAAGTATGCTCTATGCAGGGAGTCACAACAACTCAGAAGTACTGGACTTTAGGGTAGCAGGTGCACAACAAATATTTGTTTGAGTCAGTGAATCACTTGTCACATTTCATCAGGCCGAGACTTAAAATGATTGCAAAAGCTAATAATGCAGGGGCAGACAAGAACAAATGGTTTATGTTAGACCAAGATCATTTCTACTTGAGTAACCACAGCCTTCTTTTGGCTATTGAATAGAAGTTGTGTCTGATGCAAAACTGATGAGAGGTTCTAACAGTACTTTTCATGCACATTAATCTCACCTCTTGTTTCCAACAAGAGGATTCTACAGCATAAATGATAATAATAGTCACCACTGTTCTGAACACCTACTCTGTGTCAAGGGTTATGCTAGATCACTCATTCATTCATTCATTCATTCATTCATTTTTAAGTAAACTCTGTGCCCAATATGGGACTCAAACCCATGACCCCAAGATCAAGAGTCGCATGCTCCACCAACTGGGCCGGCCAGGTGCCCCTCTGCTAGGTCCTTTAAACACATTTTCCCTAGTGCTAATCTGCCAGGAAGATTTTACTGTATCTATTTTGCTAATTGGAAACTGAGACTCAAAATAGGTAAACTCATTTGTTCCAGGTCACCAGACAATAAAGCATGAATATGAAACTCTAATTCCCAAGCCAATGCTCTTTCCACTCAACCACACTATCACCTAAATAAATGCATCCCTGAAGTTTCAGTGAACCTCCCTCAAACTCTCAGAATGGAAGGCCCCTTAGTCTACACCACTTTCTCCCCCAGAAATGCAGACTCTCAGACTCCACCCCACCCCTACTCAATCAGAACCCACATTTTAAACAGATCTCCCAGTGATTCATATGCACATTAAAGTTTGAGAAGCACTGATCCAGCCTACTGTTCCCACCCCTGGCTGTGCTTCAAGATCACAAAGAAAGCTTTTAAAAAAACAAAGACATGTAGACATTACCCCCATCAAATTATTTCCATAGGGTAGAACTCAGAAAGCTTTATTTTCCCAAGTTCCCCCATATGATTCTTGTAGAGCTAACCTGAGTTTTCTCCTAGCTAAACATTACCATTCCTTAACCAAGGGGTTCTGTAAATGCTGATTACCCATCAGAGTCACTGGAGAAGCTTTTTAAAAATACTAATATCTGCCCAGCAATTGTACTACTAGGTATTTACCCAAAGGATACAAAAATACTGATTCAAAGGGGCACATGCACCCCGATGTATACAGCAGCATTATCTACAATAGCCAAATTATGGAAAAAGCCCAAATGCCCACTGATAGATGAATGGATGAAGAAGATGTGGTATATAAGGGGTGCCTGGGTGGCTCAGTCAGTTGAGCATCCGACTTCGGCTCAGGTCATGATCTTGCCATCTGTGAGTTCAAGCCCGCATCGGGCTCTGTGCTGACAGCTCAGAGCCTGGAGCCTGCTTTGGATTCTGTGTCTCCCTCTCCCTCTGCACATCCCCTGCTTGCACTCTGTCTCTGTCTCTCTCAAAAATAAAATAAACATTAAAAAAAATTTAAAAAAAGGATGTGGTATACATATACAATGGAATATTATACGGCCATCAAAAAGAATGAAATCTTGCCATTTGCTATGATGTGGATGGACCTAGAGTGTATTAGGCTAAGCAAAATAAGTCAGATAAAAACAAATATCATATGATTTCACCTATATGTGGAATTTAAGAAACAAAACAGATGAACATGGCGGTGGGGAAGATAGGGAAGCAAACCATAAGAGGCTCTTTTATTTTTTAATTTGAGAGGTGGGGGGGAGTGCACACGAGCAGGAAAGAAGGGCAAAGGGAGAGAGAGAATCTTAAGCAGGCTCCACACTCAGCACAGAGCCCTACTCAGGGCTCAGTCCCACAACCCTGGATCATGACCTAAGCCAAAATTAAGAGTCAGACGCTCAGCTGACTGAGCTACTCAGGCACCCTGAGACTCTTAAATATAGAGAACAAACTGAGGGTTGCTGGAGGGGAGATGGGCAGAGGATGGGCCGGGTGGCTGATGGGTATTAAAGAGGGCACCTGTATTGAGCCCTGAGTGTTATATATAAATGATGAATCACTAAATTCTACTCCTGAAATCAACATTACACTATATATTAACTAATTAGAATTTAAATAAAAACTTAAAAAAATACTAACGTCGGGGGCCCACTAGAGAATAGTTAGAATTTCTGAGGGTGGGGCCCAGTTATACCAATATTCCTTAAATTCTTCTATGCACATCCAGAGTTGCAAGCCAAGCTCACATTCCTTACCCAAAATGGTTTCAAGTATTACTGATCTTCTGTCTAAATCTATCTGAAACTGAGACATCTAGAACCTAACACAATACTCCGAGTTTAAAGGAGA